AACATAGCATACTATATTTACATTTAATTGCTGCCATATATTGTTTATGCTTTTACTGTAAGCTAATTTAGGAGATGTTTGTGTACATTTTCTATCGATTATGGCAGCAGTTATTCCTCATATTTACATTTGACTGATGCTTTTATAAGCAAATTTAGGTTTTGTATAGTCCAAGTAAAATATGTGCGATTGCCACTTAGAATTCAGAACGAACCCATAAGACCGGGAATGGAGCCAATAGGATTCGGCATTATATCCATCTTTGTGCCGTTACCTGCTTTGAATAATTTAATGAATCTAGTGCTAAACAACGCAAACAGCAGGTGCATTTCATTCTTAATGTTTAGTCCCCCTCTGATTACATTTACATTTATTCATTTAGCTGACGCTTTTATCCAAAGCGACTTACAATTGCTATGTATATCAGAGATTGAGCAACTAGGGGTTAAGTGTCTTGCTCAGGGACACATTGGTGTCTCACAGTGGATTCGAACCGAACCAAACGCATGTGTCTTATCCACTGCGCCATCACCACCCAATGTCCAAGTTTATGTTCATCTTAGTTAAGGACCTTGGCATTGATGATGTAAATCTTTGTTTGCCCTTTCCCTTGATTGTTTGGAAAGCTCCAAGTAGAGGCAAGTTAGGATTGTAATAAATTGTGACAGGTAATCCAAACAGATATCTAAATTATCCAAATCCTCAGTGCCTTGGGCAATACCCTCTCCTCTCCTCTCCTAACCCTCAGCAAAAAAACAAAAAAAAAAACATATGGGGGTATCCCCTGAACAAATTATTATTATTGTTTTTTAAAACTTCCCCATTTCAATACTACAATTTATATCATAGCCGCAGTGTTAAATGCTCACTCACCAAAACTACTCGCAAAAAAACTATGTCAGTTCAGATAAAGGGCATTATTTATCTAGTGTCATGTACAGATGATGGAAAAGAAAGAAGAAGCCACAGAGGACAAGAAGAGATATCAGTGTCCTTCAGCCACAAGGGGAGAAGGTTGTTTTGCCCCCTTTGATGAGGAGTGAAAATGCTGTCAAAGCCTGCTCCTCACACCTTTTTTTGTCACATGGCTGCCATTCCTCAAATGCCTTTGATAGTTTTGTTCTTTGCTCCCTCTCTGACATAAAGGACAGAAGTCAGTGATTTCAGATGTATTGCTCATCCAAGACTTCGACTTTAGAGTCAATTGTTATATAAACAGCTTTTGCTTTAGAACAGTTGGGAAGTTCTTAGTTTGCCTTATATTATATTATATTAGAAACCAGATGCAGAGTAATTTGCAAATTTACTAAACAGTTGTGTCACACTGCTCAAGTAAAGTGCATTTATTAAATGCATTATAAATGAATCAAAGCATAATCTAATGAACTTAAGTATTCCAGCAATACAATTTTCATTTAGAAACCCCCTGCAAAAGCTTGGACCAAACCATTTTAATTGTTACTTTCAAAAAAAATAATATATATAGGGTTCAATATGGAGTTGGCCCTCTCTTTGCAGCTAAAACAGCTACAACTCTTCTGGGAAGGCTTTTCACAAGGTTTAGGAGTATGTTTATGGGAATTTTTGACCATTCTTCTAGAATCGCATTTGTGAGGTCAGGCACTGATGTTGGATGAGAAGGCTTGGGTCGCAGGCCAATCAAGTTCCTTCACACCAAACTCACTCATCCATGTCTTTATGGACCTTGCTTTGTGCACTGGTGCGCAGTCATGTTGGAAAAGGAAGGGGCCATCTCCAAACTGTTCCCACAAAGTTGGGTGAATGAAATTGTCCAACATGTCTTGGTATGCTGAAGCATTTAGAGTTAAGCCCAACCCCTGAAAAACAACCCAACACCATAACCCTCCCTCCACCAAACTATACACTTGGCACAACCGCAACCACAAACCGCAAAACCCAGACTCGTCCATCTGATTGCCAAACAGAGAAGTGTGATTCGTCACTCCAGAGAACACGTCTTCACTGCTCTAGAGTCCAGTGGCAGCATGCTTTACACCACTGCATCCGACGCTTTGCATTGTACTTGGTGATGTAAGACTTGGATGCAGCTGCTCGGCCATGGAAACCCACACACAGTTCTTGAGCTAATATGAAGCACACACAAAGTTTGGAGGACTGTAGCTATTGACTCAGCAGAAAGTTGGCGACTTTTGCGCACTGTGCGTCTTTGCATGCTCTGAACCCTGCTCTGTGATTTTACGTGGCCTACCACTTTGTAGCTGAGTTGCTGTTGTTCCAAATTGCTTCCACTTTGTGGCCAACTGTGGCTATGTGATTGGAACACCTGCTCAATGATTTGGAGGGGTGTCCCAATACTTTTGGCAATATAGTGCGTGTACACTTACCTAAAGGATTATTAGGAACACCATACTAATACTGTGTTTGACCCCCTTTCGCCTTCAAAACTGCTTTAATTCTATGTGGCATTGATTCAACAAGGTGCTGAAAGCATTCTTTAGAAATGTTGGCCCATATTGATAGGAAATTATCTTGCAGTTGATGGAGATTTGTGGGATGCACATCCAGGGCACGAAGCTCCCATTCCACCTCATCCCAAAGATGCTCTATTGGGTTGAGATCTGCTGACTGTAGGGGCCATTTAATTCAGTAAACTCGCCATGTTCACGAAACCAATTTGAAATGATTCGAGCTTTGTGACATGGTGCATTATCCTGCTGGAAGTAGCCATCAGAGGATGGGTACATGGTGGCCATAAAGGGATGGACATGGTCAGAAATAATGCTCAAGTAGGCCGTGGCATTTAAACGATGCCCAATTGGTACAAAGGGCCCTAAAGTGTGCCATTTGAAATGATTTGAGCTTTTTCACATGGTGTATTATCCTGCTGGAATTATTCCTTTAGGTGAGTATGTATGTATGTATGTATGTATGTATGTATGTACACTCACCTAAAGGATTGTTAGGAACACCTGTTCAATTTCTCATTAATGCAATTATCTAATCAACCAATCACATGGCAGTGGCTTCAATGCATTTAGGGGTGTTGACTTGGTCAAGACAATCTCCTGAACTCCAAACAGAATGTCAGAATGGGAAAGAAAGGTGATTTAAGCAATTTTGAGCGTGGCATGGTAGTTGGTGCCAGACGGGCCAGTCTGAGTATTTCAACAATCTGCTCAGTTACTAGGATTTTCACACACAACCATTTCTAAGGTTTACAAAGAATGGTGTAAAAAGGGAAACCAGTATGCGGAAAGTATGCGGAAGTCCTGTGGGTGAAAATGCCTTGTTGATGCTAGAGATCAGAGGAGAATGGGCCGACTGATTCAAGCTGATAGAAGAGCAACCTTGACTGAAATAACCATTCGTTACAACCGAGGTATGCAGCAAAGCATTTGTGAAGCCACAACACGCACAACCTTGAGACGGATGGGCTACAGCAGCAGAAGACCCAACCGAGTACCACTCATCTCCACTACAAATAGGAAAAACAGGCTAAAATTTGCAAGAGCTCACCAAAATTAGACAGTTGAAGACTGGAAAAATGTTGCCTGGTCTGATGGGTCTCAATTTCTGTTGAGACTTTCAGATGGTAGAGTCAGAATTTGGCGTAAACAGAATGAGAACATGGATCCATCATGGCTTGTTACCACTGTGCAGGCTGGTGGTTGTGGTGTAATGGTGTGGGGGATGTTTTCACCATGTACCCATCCTCTGATGACTACTTCCAGCAGGATAATGCACCATGTCACAAAGCTTGAATCATTTGAAACTGGTTTCTTGAACATGACAATGAGTTCACTGTACTAAAATGTCCCCCACAGTCACCAGATCTCAACCCAATAGAGCATCTTCAGGATGTGGTGGAATGGGAGCTTCGTGCCCTGGATGTCCGTCCCACAAATCTCCATCAACTGCAAGATGCTATCCTATCAATATGGGCCAACATTTCTAAAGAATGCTTTCAGCCACTTGTTGAGTCAATGCCACGTAGAATTAAGGCAGTTCTGAAGGCGAAAGGGGGTCAAACACAGTATTAGTATGGTGTTCCTAATAATCCTTTAGGTGAGTGTGTGTGTGTGTGTGTGTGTGTACATATATATATATATATATATATATATATATATATATATATATATATATATATATATATACACACACACACACACACACACACACACACACACACACACTTTATTGCCAAAAATATTGGGACATTATTTTTTGAAAGTAATAATTAAGATGTCTACAGTCACATGGGTCAGGAAATTTGGTCCAGCTTTTTTAAGGGGTCTCTAAATGAAAATTTGATTTCTGGAATAATTTGTGCTGCTACCTGGAGACTTGGTGTGAACACTCTGCATTACACATGAATCAAGTGAAACCCAATATTTAGATTAAGTGAGGTGGTATATTTATTTATGGATGTGCCGTGCTACCTCGATGTAAACATGTTAAAAAGAATCCTGCTATCAAAGTGTGAATACAACTTTGTGAGATTGAGACTTTGTTATTGTTAGTTTGGAGACAGTGAAACTTTCAAGTTGAGTAAAAACAGATAAAGCGGACGGGGGGGGGGATGGGGGGGGATTCAATTAATGAGATGAGCTGTCTCACCAACAAAGCGTTATTTGTTTTTGTTTTGTTTTTTCACATCATTAAGATTTTCTCCTAAAGACTCTCTCCCAGACAATCATGTCTTATTGTTACAGTTGTTCACTTTCAGCCAAATGTCTGAGGCAACGATTAATTTTAATGAACATGTAATGACAAAACACAAAGACCATCAAATAAAAGAGAGAAACCATTACTAAATGCTTAAGGTAATGGTAGCCCACAGTGGAAGATGTGCTGTATTTAAGCATTAAATTGCCTTTCTTTGTGTATAATATTTAGTTATATTTCTTTCATTTTAGCTTGCATGTTCAACTGTGATTAGGTGGGTTAGCTGATTTAAAGCAACACTTTTTTCAAAAAGACTTCATTTCATTACAGGTTATTGTGTCCGTGTGTTTCAGATAAAAGGACCTGGGAAAACTATAGAAGAGAGACGTTCCAGTCTGGACGCTGAGATCGACTCCTTGACCAGCATCCTTGCTGACCTAGAGAGCAGCTCACCATACAAACCGCGCACGCCGCAGGTACCATCATTACAAACATTACAATCCCCTTCAAACCTCCTCCCACCACATTACCTGAACATATATGAATCTAATATGAAACCATATTAAAAACATTCTGAAAGCTTCATAGATTTAGAAATTGTTGCATTTAAACATCAATAATTTATACATAATTCAGTTATAATTTTTTAGCACTCTCTAAACATAAAGTTAATATTCTAAGTTAAAATAGATAACATTTTAAACACAATATACTCTCCTCCTTCAATGAAAATATTTCCAAACAAGAATCAATCAGTGTATTATAACAAAAAAAGTAAATTCAACGACTCCTACTGAAACAATGTATCCTACGGCCAATCAAATTTGAGGACCAAACCTATAAGTTTAAATATTAGATTATCCTTACAAGTTAATGTGGTTTACAGCAAATGAGATATTATACTGACATATTTTATGCAATGAAGATTCACTATGAATATTCATACTTGGTGTGGATATGAGAAATAAAAGAAAGTCATCCATCCACAGTTTCATCTATAATTCTGTGTAAGTTGCAGACTTGTGCCTGGGAAAATAACTCAAAATCTTATTTATTAGCCTTTATTTCAGTCCAGCAGTGAATCGAATTGAATGTGGAGGCCCTTCTTAAAAAAAAAAAAAAAAAAAAAAAACACACATACACACAGGGAACCTGTTATCACACCTAAAAATAGATTAACCAATTTAGGTGGTTCGTCGAGACAGATGAAAAACAAATGAAAATGTGTAAGTGTACCAGTCATTTCTCATTTTTGGAAAGTGTTATAGTCTAAAATTATAATGACCCATATCATTAATAGATATCAAATGAAGTTAAGAGCAGACACTCAAGTTGAGAGCCCTAGGGCACTTTACTAAATAGTTCAACACACAATGAATGTAGGCCAGTGCATTCAGAGTCAATGCTGTTGCATTTGGAGCAACCACAAGTCCCTCCTTTTGGCAAACAGCACCACAGATAGAGCTTGCCTTATTACATGGCCAAAGCTTAATAATGGAGAGTGCCGTCTCTGAACTAGAAACACCCTGCTTTTGGCAAGCGGTCTATGTTCCTCATTCCTTCTCTGGGGTTGGTCTATTGCATTTGCTGATCTCTGGAGTCCTCGACAGGCACTCTTTTAAAATTGTTATTGAGCATAAAGTCTGCACAAATACAGCTCTGTAAAAGTAATGAAACTAGAAAACTCTTAATCTTGAATCTTGAAATAGCTACCGTTGAAATTCTTGTATTCATATGACCTGAATTTTAAGTTGCAGAACTTCTCACTGATCAAGAATACTCTTTAGGAAATAGGGATGAGCAATATATGGGCTACCATATTGCTATCGGCTGAAAATGTAATTTTTTTATGTTGTCGTTATCGGCCCGATAAGAAAATTTGGCCAATAAATTAAAGCTGATAAATACAGTAAAGGATTATTTCCTTCAGCTGAGACACTTAAGATGTGAACTGTTCACCACAATGGTTTTGAATTGCTTGAAATATGATCACTTCAAAAAAGAAAAATACAGTTGTGCAACATGTAGCGAAAATCTGTCACTTCAGCTACATGTAATTCTATATGTAAATATATTAATGGACATACTACACCTGCCATGTTCACATTGGCTTTTGTCCTATATCTTGTGATGACAGCCACCGTGAAAGTGATTTACTTGGGTGTTGTTAAAATTTAGCCACAAGGAGCAACCTTTATGGTACTTTTTAGGGGAATCGAATTGAGAATGCCAATTCTTATATTGAGGTAGCAAACAGGATACAGAATTTTAATTCAAAATTTAAATGTTAAATGTTCATAAGAAAAGCTAAATTTGTCAAGAAAAACTTTAAATGTTGACTTGACAAAACAGTTTGAAGTTTTGAAAAGCCATACAACGGCGGATGGATCAGATGGATAGATGGACGAAATGCCAGTTTATTTATGTATGTGTATTTAGTGCATTCGTTTATTAATGCTTTTTTTGTCTTTGAATTGCAATTCTGTCAATCAAATTCTCATGAATTGAACTGGTACCTTTTGAGCTTACACTTTTTTTTTTTTTTCAACGTTGCCAGTATGACAGTTCCTTGGTTCCCGTGGGCTAATTGGATAGCAAGATGTTGTCCCACTATTGTTAGACTACTATATCATGAAAACTTAGCATTCGGATATCCTATTCATCTAGTACTGCCTTTTACACACCTTGTTTCCTAAGACACAGTCGTGATGGAGCAACATTGTAGAAATTCCTGGGGGAAACAAAGTGATGAGGCGTCCAGAGGTCACATATCAGTGTCTGAGCCAAAAGCTCTGTTTTTATTCATAACGAAACAGGCTTTGACCTCAGTTCTGGAAAACGCAGAGGCCAACAGTGTGCTAAGGAAACATTAATGTTGCTCTCAGCAAAGTGAGGCTGATTTAGTAACAAGTACTACAAACACACGTGCGCGCACACACACACAAAAAAAATATGCACACTCACATTTAAAGTACACAAATGTCTACACACATTGACAGGCGCGCATTTTTAAAGGTCATGCACCTGCACACTTTTGAAGTGGCAGGTAAGTTTTTCTAAATAAAATATAGTCTAAGTGCAGATCTTTGTAAATGTACTTTGTGAGAGCTACAAGTAACAGAAAGGAGCCTGAAAGCTTTTGTCAGTAGACTTGAAAAATTTATACAGCAAGAGCAAACAGTGTTCGAGAGAAAACAGCCTGAGTAATTTCTGGTATCGGGGTTAAATCTCAGGATCAGCCTCAGTTGCTCTGATATCTGTCTGCTCATTTGGCCATTTATGACAGCGTTTGTCCACCAGAGCGATGAGCGTGGAGTATATGATTTTGGTATGTCCAGTGTTTTCCAGGCTTTTTTCAATGGCACAGCAAGAGATGGTGAATTTACTGTTAATGTAGAAATATTTGTTTTTAAAAATAATTCTGCTATGATGATAAGTAATTCATTTATCATTGGTTTGAAATAGGGATGCACCGATACCGATACCGGTATCTGGTATCGGCCTCGATACCACATTTTCTAAAGTACTCGTACTCGTTAAAAGTCCCCCGATACCGGGGACCGATACCATGTTCTGAGAAATGGGTTAATCACAGGCGCCGAGTGCCCACCCCCAGGCTCCGGCTGCAGCTCAGAGCGGGGAGATGGGGAGACATGTCAGCCGTGTGGAACAGTGATGACCGCAAAAAAAGTAAGAAAATATTGTACCCGACCCTCTTCCTGACCGTATTTTTTAAAAGTAGTACATGCTCATCGTAGCGTCATTGGGCCATAAACGTGTAACAACACAGCATCGCAAGAAGACGTAGCCTACATATAACAAAGCCAGCACTTTGGTCATCATCTTTCATTATTTCGGTAAATGTCTCCCACACTTACTCTTTCTATTTGTGTATTTGCGGAGCTTCCACTCCCCAGTCTTCACCTTTTCTCTTGCCGCCTCCATCTCTCTGCAGACTAGTGATCATAGACATGGCCGGTTCGTGAACGAATCGGTTCTTTTTAATGAACCGGTCGAACCAGTACGCTAAATCGAACTGAATCATTCGCATCAGTTCACGTCTTGCGTCAGTGCTGATCCACAAGTTACTACAGTTACTCACTTTCAGACATGCCTGACAGTCCCTCCGAGTTGAAATAAACCAATATCCCGAATTATATTTTACTCCAGTAACTCTAACAGTTCACTGAACTGAGACATGTTGTTGCCACAGCTGAGAGAAGTGATGAGCATGAGCAGCTGATACTGCGCATCCGCGTAGTAACGAATGATGCGCAGTAAGTAATAAATTCGGCCTATATATTTCATAGAAAATTGTATCTAGTACTATATAAATACAAAGGTTTAATTGGCATCTTTTTCCAAACGACCTGACCGACCGCGACCCGAATATCATTAAAAATATTTTTGGATGACCCGTAACTGCGGGTAACCGCGGGTGACCGCGGCGCAGGCACCCGCTCATTTTGGATCAACCCGTGCATCACTGGTGTGGAACAATTTCAAAGTGAATGGCTTTGGATTAGGAGAATAAGTTTACTTGTAGTCGCCAAGTTACTTATAGTCAGTTGAATGTCTGTTGGGGGACCAAATAAATAAAGTGTTATCAGATATTAAGCTGATCGTACTAATACTCTAGTCTACTAATACTCTAATGGCAGTTAGTTGACATGTAATTGAAAAGTTACTTATAGTTAGTAAAGTGGACTATCGAAATAAAGTGTTACCCAAGTAATTTAATCAAGGACCTAAAAACCCGTATATAAAAATATTTAAATCATGTTTTTTTTTTATTTTTTATTAAGTACTCGGTATCGGTATCGGCGAGTACTGAAATGCAAGTACTCGTACTCGTACTCGTTTTCCAAAAAAGTGGTATCGGTGCATCCCTAGTTTGAAATGTCACCATAGAAATGTGTATATATATATATATATATATATATATTTTTTTTTTTCTATTTTATTTGAATCAAATAACCTTCATTATGTGAAACATAATGGAAGAAATTTCCCAGAATGCCTGAATTCATTGCTTTTCAAATCAGACACTGCTGATATAAAATTGGTCATATATAAATAAATACAAAATGTGTGTGAATGTATGTGTGTGTGTGTGTATATATATATATATATATATATATATATATATATATATATATATATATATATATTCTGTTATATGAAAACAGTGTGGTGAAATAATTAAAACATGATTTGTTTTGACTTAAAACAAGCTCACAATTTTATTTTTCTGTAATATGTTACATGAAAACAATGTGGTGAAATAATTAAAACGTGATAGTGTGTTAATTGTTTTGACTGTAGCGAACTCACAATTTACAGAACAATAAATGTTTTTTGCCAACTCTATGGATAAATATGCATAATTTCTATAAATCAATGCTAATTTTTTTAACTGTATTTGGATTTCCAAACTTTCCATGTTTTATGGTGACTTTCCATTGACATAATGATT